AACAAATTAACAATTTCTAAATCCAAATTTTTGGCCCAATAATTTGTTTCATTTCTAATTTTTTTAATTTTTGGCTCAATTACTCATTTTATTGTTTTATTTCTTAGCCCAACAAGATCTAATTCACTAAATTACCCTAAACACCTACACTAAAGTATATAACGTTGTCTAGACTCTCGTACTCACTCTCGCAGCCTCGCTAACATTCCAAAACCTATACAATCGTCGATCGACACTATGACATCCGATCGAAGCTGTGATCTCCGTCGATCGAAACTTTGACCGTAACGATCATTTGAACAATGTAGTCTACTAGTCTCTGACATTCCAAAATCATTGAATGTATCATTAGTTGTATTTATATAATATTGTTATAAATGTAAAAAAATTTAATTATAGAACGGAACGGAACGGAACTGAATCGAACCCGAACAGTTCCATAAATATATTTGGACCCGATGGTTCCATTTACTAGATACTCGAAAATTTTGGTTCGATTTGGTTCTCTTTAGAACCGAACCGAACCGAACCGACCGCACCCTCCCCTACCTAAGCCAAAAAAATGTTTATTTTGTGGGTCATGAACTTAAAGGCAATAGTGTTGCTCCCTAGCAATCCCTACTTTGACATGATGTTTTTATGATTCATATCCATGATCCTAACTTTGATACCATTTGTTAGGATCAAATTTCGGCCATCGCATTTGAAAATCAATTGATGCCCAATAAGGCAAACTAAATATTTTATAGGATTCAACAATCATAATTTGAGTAATCTAATCCACGACAATTCAAAGCAGCATTATTGCTCCCCAGCATTATATCTCTTAACTTTCCCAAGTTTCTACTCTAACGAGATGCATGAAACTCAAAAATAGTTAAAAGGAGAAATCAGAGTTAAAGCTATACAAGTTTCCTTCACGAAATAGAATAAGTAACGAGAATGATCTTTTGGTTGTTATCTTCATCAAAATAAATTAGAACCCCATCTATAAGAAAACTCGATCATCGACTAAGAAATGTTAAATAATGTACCTCAATTTAAAGAAATATGTTGAACCATGCAATATAACCCATATATAGATGGTAGGGGTTAAGTGACTTGCTCAACTGAAAAAATATGGCGAACAACGTCACCTCAAACTAAGGAATTATCGTGAATAGGCCCCTTATGAGATGACCGAGTTGGTAAAGTAGGTGAGCACGTAGTCTTTTGGTCATGAGTTTGATTTCTCCTACCAATATTTTTTCAGTCGAGCCTATCGCACTGAGTTTGTTTAGTGCGATTTACCTGGTTGGAGTGGTTTGCAAGGTATTGTGTCAGTCCGACAGTTTACCTAGTGTGCATAGTGGCTTCGGGTTTCCCGTCATAAAAAAGAAAAAGAAAAAGGAATTATCTTGAATAAGACGACTATTAGTCAGTGGAGATAAGGGGTGAGTGGACTTTTTATAACCATTATATATGACATATTTTATTAATAATGAAGATAAAGCGTAATACACATTGAGAAGAGGGCTCGGCCTCACTTGTAGCTAAAGGTGAAAAAAAAAAATCTTCATTCAAAGACGGGGTACAACATATAAGTTAAAGAAACTACACTTCATTCGACCTAGCCATATGCCATCACTTAGGATAGGCATTGGACAAGGCAACTAGGGTCATTCCTAGATCGAATGTATGTGCTTGAACTATAGAGCCACATAAACTAAACGAGAATTAAATTAAACATCCAAATATCCACCAAACTTTTTTTGGTGATACAAGACCCATTTTTGGGACATATCATTATATCTACATTTGCAGTGCTTCCATAAACTTCTATCAAGCATATATGAAGTACAGATCATCATTTGCTCCCTGCAAAGTATGCCAAAGGTCCAACAATGGCAGCATTAATATAAGTAGCAGGCTCTGAATGACTATAATCTGTTCTATCATCTGGGAAAAAATCATTCTGGTTTGGACCTCCAACAATGGCACCGGTTAGAATATTAGGATTAGGGTTTGCTGTGTAGAAGAATGGCTGGAAACCACCCTCACAACCAAAATTTTGTGGATGGATTGTCTGTGAGGGCAAAGAGGATCCTCTATGGTGAACCCTTCTCGGAAAATTTGTCCCGTAACCAACCATGTACGACATTTTTAAAGGGTTTTCTCCTAAAATGTAGTCAACCTGCAGGAATTAAAGGATATATAAATGGAATTATTAGATAATATTAAATCATCATATTGGTTTTTCTTTATTTGTTTGGTTTTATAAATTAAAGGAAATTACGTTAGTGATCCCCAATCTAATGCCATAATAGCAAGTTATTCCATGTAAAATCAGTTTTCAACAATGGAAACATTAAAATCTTTGTCAGATCGTTATGTTACCTTTACATGTTCAACTTTGTGAAATTACTTTTTATTTCTCAACTTCGACTAGCATCTAGAAATTCATAATGAGACGTGTTATATGAGGGGTCACTGGAACGATTTAATAGCGACCTTGAATAATTTGCTCTTTTTCAAAGTTTGAAGATTACCTCGCTACTTGATTAATCAGTTTACAATCAACACCTACTGATTTTATAATTTTTTTATAGATCCGATGTAATTCTCAACAATAGAATTTTACACCATCGGATCCATAAACCAATCGACTGATAAATGTTATTTTTTAAACTTAAGTCCCTGGTTCGCCCACATTTTCTAAAATTCATTTTTTTTTTCAATTTCATTTTCAATCACACATTTTATGGAATCCAAATTTTTATCGACTTTTCAACCATATATTTTATCAAAATTTACCAAAATCTACTAAAAATTTGATTTTAGGTAAACTAAACATGGGTTAAATGAACTTACTTGTCTTTTGGCTAGGCTGCGTATAGTCTTTGAAGTAACCAATAGGTTTCCACAGTTGAAAGAATACTTTGCAGTCGCCATGTATTTTGAGTAAGTAGTAAGCAAATAGGTTATGCTTGTCACATACTGCAGATTACTTGCACTTAATTTATACATCAAACCTCCTGCACAATATAAATATTCATGTACAAATTAATATATATTTTTCATCAATTCACATATAAGATTCATTAGA